TTTAGGTGAGGATGATGGGAGGGACCTGGAGAAAATGGAGGAGAAGATCTGGGACCCCAACAGCTCACTGACAGAGAAACAGATTGATCAGTTTTTAGTAGTAGCACGGTAAGTCAGCTCAGACATGAAATGTATAACAAAAACAAATCTGATTTTTGCAATTTCTTTCAATTTCAGAGAGAGTTAGTTGTAAAGTTAGTTATGCTAAGGTAAATTTACCTCACTTGTTAAAAAACTGTGTCAAGTAAACCTAATCCATCCAGTCTTAGAGCCGTGACTTCTGGCTTTTATTTGTGTGCATCTAAAAAACAATTATGACAGTTATTATAAAACACATGCATACTTTTTTTTTTCAGGGAGTGCACTGCATTTAATCAGGTGTACTTGAATCCAAAGTGAATCCAAGAGCTAGTCTAAAACTTCCTAAAGGTCACTAGAAAGGTCAAGGCAAGGTTAAAAAGAAAAATAAAAACACGCTGAACGGGCATTATGGGGTGCCATAACGAAGTTTTTTTGAGTTTTTTGACTCATTAAATTTAAAAACCTCACCTCTTTAAATTGTTCCAATTTTCTCTTTGACATCATGTCTTTGTGCATATCTGGACCGGTTCCAGCTCAGCTGCTATTTTTACATCGCTTCCTGGAAGACCCTTTCTGACTACTTGTATGGGCACATTATTTTACCGTGGAGCTCCGACTTGCCAGAGAGCAAACATCAATTTCTCTGTCAAGCTGACCCAGCCCAACCCCCATAACTGGTGGAGAGAGCGAGGGCACATCAGCGAGGAGTGGCACCAGAAACATGCTTGTTGTTGTTGTATTTTCTGTCCTGAGGTAGTTGAGGGAGAAAATTTACAACAAATGGTCTCAACTACAGCTCCCTGAGACTTCATTCTATTCCCCTTTATGTAATTCAAGTTGAGGAGTCTCTGTTTTTACACAGCTGAGCAGATCCAGTGCACATTATGGACACACAAGTGCAAGTAATCTGAGTGGGACTTGCAGGGAACGAGAAATAGAAAATAAAATAGCCGCCACACTGAAAGCGGTGCACTGCTGCTCAGGAAGATTGAAGATTTAAATGTGGTAGAACTTTTGATTTGTTGTGAAACGCTATGATTGCACCTGGTAAAGATGCTGCAGTTATTTAATTCTCAGCGTGAGAGAAAATACATGAATTCACTAAAACTAATAAGTACTACAAACGTTTCCTAAAATCTGTGAATATCTAGTTTTCAAGCCATATTTGGTTGCTAAGCAGTTTTAGCCTGTTGAGGTCTAAATTTGCTTGAGGTGCATTATCTGTCTGACCACACTATAGAGTTGAATATTTTATTAGGAAGAACCAAAGTTTGGACTTTGCTGATATGACTTCCATGTTTGTTCTGTAAAGGGAACTATATCAATAGTTTCTCATGTGTCCCACAGGTCAGTAGGTACCTTTGCCAGAGCTTTGGATTGCAGTAGCTCTGTCCGACAGCCCAGCCTACATATGAGTGCTGCTGCAGCCTCCAGGGACATCACCTTGGTGAGATAGACATATATATGATTATATATATATGATTTGATTTAAACTGTTAACACATGACATGTGAAAGGTGTTGTGGAGAAGGAGGACTGTTAATCAGAAAATCCTTGCGCGTGAGTCTGTTAGTGATTGTTGAAGCCTGTGTCTGGTTATCCTTAACAAGCATTTGGCCCCAAAACCTAGCCAGCCTAGTGTGGGTCTATTCTGCCCTAGATCCTTTCCTCATATATAAAACATGGATGAGAGCCCTAGCTACCCACATGTACAAAAACACACGCACACACACAGAAACAGCTCAGATACTCTCATGGA